TTTTACTTATGTAAAATACACAGCACATGGCCTTAGCAGACTATACGGTAGATTGCATACACATCAGGTATCAGCCCATGTAAATGAATAGTGCATTGCAAATTGAATTGTGGAACAGAGCATCCAATAATGAGGCTGCCATCCTAGTGGAAATGCATGCATGGTTTTAATCAATACAGCCTGGAAAATCACTCCCTGGCTGTGCAGTGAAGCTCAGAAATTCAAAACACTGCAGTTTATAGCTAGGAAGTATACATCATTTTGCAGGTTTACGGAATATGTTCTGAAGCTTTTGTGGGGCATTTAAACTAAAATTAATCAAGCATTTTTAATTTTAGTAGGTAAGGCCCACTCAGTTATATAGCTATTTTTCAGAAAATGATAGCTCGACGAAGTAGCTAATCACGTGGAAATTTATAGCAGCCAAATACATTAAACGCACGTTTCTAAATGTGGAGGGATAAACAGCAAAACCCAGAGAAAAAGCCAAGCGAAACACGGGGAGAACATACACACTCCAAATAATCAGACGTCAGGGTCAGGATCGAACCCACGGCCTCCTGCGTACCAGGCGAGGTAGTTTACATATCACCACCGTAGCGTCCATGCACCAGCCTCACCCCTTTCATTCTAGTTCTCGTTAAAAAAACTAATACCACCTTCTGCCCATATTTGTGTCTCCACATTGAACATGAAGTACAGTATGTTTTACACATCCCATCAGCAGCAACGGCTTCTGGCAGTGCCTCCTTCGAGCAGCATTGGTTTAACACAATAAATTTCCGAACGGCGTTGACATTGATTGTCTGAACAAGAAGGTGTTCTTAAACCAATGCTGGTGAACTACTCAAAATTGAAAGGCAAGAACCATTTGGCTGTAGGATCTAGTTTGTTCCTAACTACAACCCACTATGTTCATTGAGCTGGCTAGATCTGCTTGCATTATAATTCAACATTGTATTCACATGCCAATTTGCCTGGACTGATGTTAGACATATGTGTTAGTCACACTTAGCATGTGACTAAAAACACACAGCATTGTCTCACATATATGCCTCAGTAACCAATGCAGTCATTTGGATTTCATTTGTTTTTTGTGTTGATTTAGTTTATTAAAAAGGTCAGCAATTGGAAATGTTGATCGGATTACATTGGGCTAAGACAGATCATTTAAAGTCGTAGACATGTGAGGTCAGTGCCCCATCAGAGGCGCAGCAGATTGAGGTGCCGATACTGCTTGTCCATGCTGCAATCCCTCGGTTGCACTCCAAACGGGACCAGTTCCCCAAATCAATACGGCCAATTACGCGCCCAACTCCTCGGCATCTTGTTCCCTGACGTTTACTCACGTAGCTTTTGCTGTCATGAAGTACAGTGAGGGAAAAAAGTATTTGATCCCCTGCTGATTTTGTACGTTTGCCCACTGACAAAGAAATGATCAGCCTATAATTTTAATGGTAGGTTTATTTGAATCCAGAAAAACGCATGTCAAAAATATTATGAATTGATTTGCATTTTTAATGAGGGAAATAAGTATTTGACCCCTCTGCAAAACATGACTTAGTACTTGGTGGCAAAAACCCTTGTTGGCAATCACAGAGGTCAGACGTTTCTTGTAGTTGGTCACCAGGTTTGCACACATCACAGGAGGGATTTTGTCCCACTCCGCTTTGCAGATCTTCTCCAAGTCATTAAGGTTTCGAGGCTGACGTTTGGCAACTCGAACCTTCAGCTCCCTCCACAGATTTTCTATGGGATTAAGGTCTGGAGACTGGCTAGACCACTCCAGGACCTTAATGTGCTTCTTCTGAGGCACTCCTTTGTTGCGTTGGCCGTGTGTTTTGGGTCATTGTCATGCTGGAATACCCATCCACGACCCATTTTCAATGCCCTGGCTGAGGGAAGGAGGTTCTCACCCAAGATTTGACGGTACATGGCCCCGTCCATCGTCCCTTTGATGCGGTGAAGTTGTCCTGTCCCCTTAGCAGAAAAACACCCCCAAAGCAAAATGTTTCCACCTCCATGTTTGACGGTGGGGATTGTGTTCTTGGTGTCATAGGCAGCATTCCTCCTCCTCCAAACACGGCGAGTTGAGTTGATGCCAAAGAGTTCCATTTTGGTCTCATCTGACCACAACACTTTCACCCAGTTGTCTTCTGAATCATTCAGATGTTCATTGGCAAACTTCAGACGGGCATGTATATGTGCTGTCTTGAGCAGGGGGACCTTGCGGGCGCTGCAGGATTTCAGTCCTTCACAGCGTAGTGTGTTACCAATTGTTTTCTTGGTGACTATGGTCCCAGCTTCCTTGAGATCATTGACAAGATCCTCCCGTGTAGTTCTGGGCTGATTCCTCATCGTTCTCATGATCATTGCAACTCCACGAGGTGAGATCTTGCATGGAGCCCAAGGCCGAGGGAGATTGACAGTTATTTTGTGTTTCTTCCATTTGCGAATAATCGCACCAACTGTTGTCACCTTCTCACCAAGCTGCTTGGCAATGGTCTTATAGCCCATTCCAGCCTTTGTAGGTCTACAATATTGTCCCTGTCATCCTTGGAGAGCTCTTTGGTCTTAGCCATGGTGGAGAATTTGGAATCTGATTGATTGCTTCCGTGACGGGTGTCTTTTATACAGGTAACAAGCTGAGATTAGAAGCACTGCTTTTAAGAGTGTGCTCGCGAATTCGGCACAAATCAGATTTGAAACACGGCAGAACGAATTCTTCTGCCGTAACTGATCACTGTTACAACGCTGTGGGTGATCACGATATAATTTTCTCCGATTCCAAGGTTCTTTGCAAACCCACGGGTTTTTATCAGAGATTTGTTCACTAGGCAATTCAGATCTACAAACACAGACACAATTTCAACCGAGAAGATGGTTTCAAATTAAGCAACCATTGGAAAGATGTTCTAAATCGAACCAAACATTAAACTAATTTTCAATGGTACAGTATATTTTTCAAGTAGTAGTACCCCAAACTTTTGCAGCTCTTCAAAATTCCCTTTTCACACCATCAATAGGTAAACCCCCCCTCGCCAACCGGCATGTTCACCCGCATGTACACCACCTCTACACCGTTCATCATGCTAAGTCGGCCAATCAAATGCTATTTTTTATGCTAATTCCTTTGTCAGGCACCTTGTTTCCTCGCACACAGCTTAAAGGTTGCGGTCTGAGCGTGGCTGTGTTTCACTCCAGCGCTGTCCTCGAGACAGTCTGGTCCCTTCACCTGATGAAGGCCGCTTGTGTTGTGACCGAAACGTCGTGATTTTTGTTGTTTTATTTTTTACCTACGTGACTTTACCGAATAGAACCAAAGAGTATGGATCCTTGCAGTCACGAAAGCTTTAAATCTAGAATCGTTCAGCCTGTTCAGAAACGTAAGCGAGCTTGGACAGGACATGTTTTTGGAAGGGGCAGTGGCCTATGGTTAACATTAATGATGTTGTGGCAGCCAAGGAATGGAACTCATCTGAGAGGATCCACCGAGGCGATGAAGAAATGAAATCAGCTTGTGTGCGGGCAGGAAGTTGATCATTACATCGCAGGATCATTAGAGATTGTGATGGCTTGGGGAGGCTTTAATCCAGTGGTGGATTGACTGTGACAGATATTGATGATTCACTCAGCAGATCGGACGCGAACCAATCAGCCAATAAGGTCACATTAAGTCCATATGCAGCCAATCAAAACGACTGATTTATTTCTTTAAAAAAATTCCCATATGATTTAAATCTGAACCTATGGTGTCACTCCTAGAGTTTTGCCAAGTAGAAAGTGACAATGTACTCCCATATTCCTGGTTCTTTCGGTAAAGTCACGTAGAAGGGAAACAAGAATATGAATCCCTGCAGTCACGAAAGCTTTAAATAAAAATGTACTCGCAGTTAAACTATTGAAATAACAGTGACATGATCAGGAAATGGCAATGCAGGTGATTAGATTGTAAAATTGCATTTACATATATAGTAATAAATGTACAGCCCTTTGTCAATGTATCTGGATGAAGAGCTCCCCTGGCCGTGTGGGTCTTTGTGCTACATAACCATACTTCACCAGACTAGTCAATTTGGCTTGGTGAAAGTGGGGCCCAAAGCAGGTTCATGGTGAAGGAGGAGCCTAACACCGGTTGAGATAGGGGCTGTCCATAAATGACGTCACAAAAAGTCAGATCCCCCCTAAAATATGAGGTCACAAAGCTCTGCCCCCCCCCCCCCCAATATAATAAGCATGCTTCAAATCTCGATTTAAAGCTTTCGTGACTGCAAGGATTCACCTTCTTTGGTTCTTTCGGTAAAGTCACGTAGAATGAGAATAAAATAATAAATTATTCTCATTCTACGTGACTTTACCGAAAGAACCAAAGAAGATGCTTCAAATTGCTTTAAACTATTGTCATTGTAGTGCATATTTAATGTGGCGCTGTACTCTGATTTTGTAGGCGAAAACATTTATTAAAAAGTCTATTTAATAAAGTAGAACGTGTTATCTATATTTATTTAAAGTTGCGCATTTTTACGTGACGTCACATTTCTCAACCCCCCCCCCCCTCGTCACACATCGTCACAAATGTCTGACCCCCCCCCCCCCAGGTGCGTGACGTCATTTATGGACGGCCCCATATCACTCAGGAGTGATGTCGGCCATGACTAGAAATCAAACCTGTGCAGCAGTGTGAAGGATTGCCACGGTGTGAATTGCCTTCGATCAGCAATGGATTGACAATGGGGGTGCATGTTATTATACCGTACAATAATACATGGGCTCATTGTTTTTTCGCTTATGCTTGTTTACCCATGGAAGCCTCACATGACTTTCTGAGAAGGGTACTGTCGGGTTTTCACGGCAGGGGGCGATGATTGATATTCATAATCCCAAATTGAGGGATTACCATCCACCGCAGAGATGGTTTCAGCTATCCTGTATGACTGACGGCACTGTTATCACCGACGTACTCTTGCTGTGACGTTTCTGTGTTCATGTTTCCCGTGCAGGTGAAGACCCACGGCCTCACAAAGACAATACAATTTAACGACCTAGGCCAACGCACCAACTACACCCTGGGCGTCATGGAGCTGAGAACAAACGGCCCACAAAAGGTACCTCCCCGTCTGCTGATTGCCAAGTTATTTTGTTATTTTGTAATCGTGTTGCACTGTTTAACAACAACAATAACTGTTATCCACCTCTAAGTGGCCGGTGACATCACCAAAGCGCTTGTGCGAGGCTCGGTGCACCTGGAGGCCACGTGAAGTGTCAAAGACTCGCTGGACAGGAGGTTACGGGACAGACCCAGGTGTCATGGGTTCAATGACTGAGATAACTGGCAGATGCAATAACTGTACTCCCCACTGTGCCAACTTGCACTTTTAACCGTCTGACACTCCGCTCAATGGAAACATTGCTCCTCTGCCCTCCATTGTTGTTGGAGGGCAACTGCCTCCAACTGCCGAGTTGATTTTTGCACGTGCCTCCTCCACAGAAGCCGATCCTGACACTGCTAGTACCACTGATCAGCAAATCCAATCTTTTCTGCATCCACAAGTATAAATTCAGCCCATCTCTTCTCCAGACCAGGCGGCGCCTGTTTAGCACCCTCTACCTCACCAAACAGAAGCCTGCAGTGGCTGGACATGAGGGCGACATGACCCAGCCTTTGCAGCTTCACCTGCTCTAGGAGGTCACTGATGGGACTGTGTCCAGATGTTTCAAGGATTTGTGAGCTCTTCACAAAATCCCTGGCCGATTAAACCTAGGATGGATCATGGCCAGGCCAGCCTGAATGTGCGTTTTATCTGGCGCAAATGTAGTGTTTGCTTTCACTCGGACAACTGTCTTTCTTCGAACACCGTTTTATTTACAACTCTCAGCATGTCCTCCACATTCCACAGTATCCAGGTCGCCACGGCTCGCTCGCCGTGCTTCACTCGACTGGCTCGCCACCTTTGTCTCTCCACTCCCCACGATTACTTCGCTTATTCCGCCGCTAACTTCTTTGTCTCTGCTCTCCGCTATCACCATCACTATGCTCTCTCCACCTTCACCTTCCTCACTCAGCGACTCCGCACTCAGCAACTCCGCACACAGCGTCTTCACACACAGCGTCTTCGCACACAGCGACTTCGCACACAGCGTCTTCGCACACAGCGACTTTACACACAGCGTCTTTGCACTCAGCAACTCCACCCTTCAACTCTTTACTCCAACTCTGTCTCTCAAACTCTGTCTTCCAAGCTCTGTCTCTCAAACTCTGTCTTCCAAGCTCTGTCTCTCAAACTCTGTCTTCCAAACTCTGTCTCTCAAACTCTGTCTTCCAAACTCTCCACACTTCAATTCCTCCCTGTTGACTCCAAGCTCTCCAAACTCCCAAGCTCTCCAACTTCAAACCATCTCCAAGCTCTCCGCTCTTCAACCTCCTCTGTTGACTCTGACTCCTGCTCTTATACCCGTTCTCATTACACCCCCAAGTAATTAACCCGCGTCCCAACGGCACTCCGCGTGACCGTCACCTGTTTCTCCTCCAGACCTTTAGACGCCTCTCCAGCCCCGGCAACAGCACCAACCAATCACCGCCGTCCACGGCTCTCCCAGCTTAATTGCCCCAACATAACCTGCACTGTATTCACCTTCGCTACAGGCTGACCCTAGATAACCCGTACTGTCTGTGTGATCATGTAATCACGCTGTTTGCACCACGCACCTTCCTACTCCACTACATCACCCCCCTCCCCCCCCCGTGATAAAAAAAATCTAGCCGTCCCGGCTACGACGACACTTCGACTTCGACTTCTGGGTAGTGGAGTACCTTGGACATAACAATGAACAACAACATAACAACAACACCAACGCATCACAGAAACATATGTACAACAGCCGTACGAGGCGTAAAAGTCAATAGAAAGTTCTTCATCATGCAAGTTCCAGCGGCCAGTCTTCAATGAGTTCGCGTGGCCGAGCCCCCAGGGGAGGCAAGCACGCGGTCCACTCCCCCCTTCAAGTCCACATCCAGCCAGCACAACCAGCGACTCCAAGGGCGGCAGGCGCAGGAATCCTGTGACGAGAGAAACCAACCCTCCTGAGGCATCACTCGACGAACACTCGCCTCGGCTCGTCGGACACAACAGTCACCCGGCCAGGGAAGTGGAGATGATCAATTCCGCCTGCGGAAGGAACCAAAATACACATTCTACAATCAGCCCAAAATCACACAATACCCATGCACACACAAATTGGTGACCGCATGCTTGGACGGCAATGCCGCAATCCCCGCGCATCCGCATATCTCCGCGGTTCTCCCCGCACTCCCATCCCAGCATACTCCTCTGGGAATTATGACAGACAGCACATTTCGCACCCTCCGACACCTCTGTGCGTCGCCGCCGTTCATCGCACGAATCGGCCATAGCGGGGGAATTTTAAACCAGTGTTTCGCCAAGACTCACGTTGCCGCAATCAGCTGCCCCAACCCAGTTGAGAAGACACATCGTTACCTCACTGCACAACATGCACCCTGACAACTGAGGGATACATCTCCAGCCCACTGTTTCAACGCACCTCGGAGCGTCTCGAACTCCGGGCCGCCAGGGCGAGCCTATAACTCCATTGTATAGCTTCATAAGCACCTCGGAGGGCCTCAACCTCCGGCCCGTCAGGTCAAACCATCATTCATAACATGACGGGACCACATCCCCGTGTTAGACACTCAACACGTATTCATAATAAAGGTTTTTGGGTTAGATCGCGTTTATTTATAAATGTGTCGTAACCCTCCACCACCCGACACGGCCAATCAGCAAAAAAAGTGTCACGTTGACAAAAGACAAATAATTCACTACTTCAGCCCACCGGTGTGTTGAAGAGTTAATCCACATTTACAGTTTGAGTACGACGTTTCGCTGGTAAATACTTCCAGCATCATCGGGCAATTCGCCAGAATGGTAAAGCCCTCGCTTGCTCCCGGTTTTATATAGAGCAGCAGGGTGACGTCATCACTTAACTCATCAGGTGCAGTGGTTAGAGGCGGAGGGGGGGGGGTAATGTAATTATATAATCGATTAGTAATCAGTCATTGGTTATGATTAGTAATGAGTTTTGCAAAATGCGGGCTAATTTGTCAGTTACTCCTGAGATATATGGAATTTTTATTGTTTTAACAATCTGGTCGCTTTCAGTAGTATTGCTTTGCGATCGTGATTTGGCATTCAGTGCTCAGCAAAACATTACAGTAAGATTTGGTACAGTACACAAAATTCAAAAACTAGTATCTTGCACTAAAGACGCATTACCTAAACTATCAACAGAAGGTGTATATCGGATTAATTGTTCATGTGGCAGCTGCTACATTGGGCAGACGGGACGTAACATCAGCGTAAGACTAAAAGAACATCAGAGAAATATTAAATTATCTCAAACACAACTGTCGGCAGTGGCAGAACATGCTTGTCAACAAGGACACTCAATTGATTTTGACAATGTTGCAGTGGTGTGTAAAACTAATTATTACTGGCAAAGACTAATTAGAGAATCCATTGAAATTGAGAGGAACAAGAATAACTTTAATCGCTCTGACAGCTACCGGCTTAGTGCGGCCTGGAAGCGTATCATTAAATAATACACATTACATTTTGATTTAAAGAATTACTAATCTACAACTCATTACTAATCATAACCAATGACTGATTACTAATCGATTATATAATTACATTACCCCCCCCTCCGCCTCTAATCACTGCACCTGATGAGTTAAGTGATGACGTCACCCTGCTGCTCTATATAAAACCGGGAGCAAGCGAGGGCTTTACCATTCTGGCGAATTGCCCGATGATGCTGGAAGTATTTACCAGCAAAACGTCGTACTCAAACTGTAAATGTGGATTAACTCTTCAACACACCGGTGGGCTGAAGTAGTGAATTATTTGTCTTTTGTCAACGTGACACTTTTTTTGCTGATTGGCCGTGTCGGGTGGTGGAGGGTTACGACACATTTATAAATAAACGCGATCTAACCCAAAAACCTTTATTATGAATAATATTGGTCGCGAAAGCCTACGTGTTAAACTGACTCAACACGTACTGGGCCATCCTGGTCAGGATCTGCGCCCCAAGAGATATGACAGCTAGCACAATACCAAATCAATGGCAGCATGTCACCATCGCCAATGTCGAACAGGCACGCACAATTTGCGACGATCTCAAATACCCAACGGTCACCACAATACACTTCACATCCCGCATCAGTACCCATTATGTCAGATACTCGCATTGCAGCACACAGCTGTACCAACCGAGTTGAGAGCAAAACAACTATACACAATCCCACGAATCGCTGAATGAGGTAATACAGTACACACAGCATATACAGTCCGATACAATCTATACCTTGGCAACAATAACGATCAAAGTTTCTCACAGTCACACATGAACAATCACGAGCGAAGCTTCCTACAGTATACACAATAACTACACAATAACAATCGCGAATCATTAACACGGCAACCCACAGGATATTTAAAGGGCCTCGGGACACTCGACACACACGAATTAATCATTAACAACCCCATCAGATAACACTCCCGATGCCGTAACCAACAACAACAACCGCCATTCGCCACTAAGTGGCGGTGACGTCACCACGACGCTTTTGCCAGGCTATGTGCACCCTGAGGCCACGTGAAGTGTCGAACGCCCGCTGGCAGGAGGTCACGGGGCAGACCCAGGTGCCACGGGTCGACTGACTGAGATGACTGGCTGATGCACCACCTGTGCCCCCTACTGTGCCAATTTGCTATGCTTTAGCCACCCGGCGCTCCGCTCGTTGTTCTGAGCATCGCTCCTCTGCCCTCCGTTGTTGTTGGAGGGCGACTACCTCCAACTGCCCAGTAGCATCCTTCACGAGCCTCCTCCACAGAGGCCGATCTTGACACCGCTGGTACCAGTCATCGGCAAGTCCACTCAGCTCTACGTCCTCCTGTACCACATCACTCCATCTCTTCTCTAGCCCGTGCCGCGCCCGCCTAGCCCCCTCAATCCGGCCGAACAAAAGCTGTTTCAGCATGCGGTGGCTGGGCATGCGGGCTACATGACCCAGCCATCGCAGCCT